TTTTCAAATGTTCACCTGCGTCCGTGCCGCAATCCCCTTTAGAGTTATCTAAAGTGGGTAATGTGGACTGTCTTTCTGTTACACGGATTCGGTTCACTCTGGACTTCTTTTGCTTGGAACTCAGACCCTCTCGTTCGGATCCCTTCTTTTCGTTGTCCCGCGCAGCGCAGCAGTGGCCGTCCCTGGATTTTAAACCTTTTGAAAATCGCCTTTTCCCAGAGGCGGAGCCGCTACAACAAACCGGTGCGGTGACTTCTTCTGGCAAGAGTGAGGCAAAGCAACGTTCTCCGCTGCTCATATCAAGTGCGGGGGCTGAACTTTCGTTATTACTAGCTGTGAAATGTGCGTTCTGGCATTGCATGATTTTGTACGCTGGAGATTTAGTAGACTTTTTAACATTTACAAAACGAGGCATTTTTGAGATCTTGGTATTAACATGCTCTGATAATTGACCATCGTCTCTGTTTAGTATTCTGTTATTGACATGCTCTGATGATTGACCACCGTCTCTGTTTAGCGTTCTGGAATTTCCGTTGTGGCCTCCACTTATGACCGGCCCGCTCTTCATATCTGGGGCAGATGTGAACTGCGCGTGGGTCTCTTCTCCAGTTGGCTGCGTGTAGCCTTTGGGGGCATCGTGTTTCATGGAGATTCTCCTCGCCTGGGAAGAATACGCGCCGCCACTGACCCAGGATCGGGTGAGTGATGTTTCGTGCCCACACGGGGCGTCTTCTGAAGATGGATTAGTTTTGCCTCGCCTAGATTTACTGCGCCTTGCTTTACTTTTTCCTTCTTTACGACTCTCTTGACTCGCGTCGACCTCGGGCAACACGTACGAGGCAAACGGATCGGCCGCTTTGAGGCGAACGTTAGAATATGCCTAGGAGAAGAATGAAAAAGATTGTTTATTTATGTGTGGGCCATGTCAGTGGAAACGTGTAACAGTGGCACTAAACGGGCAGACTACTTAGACAAAACTGAAAAAAAAATCTAGTTTTTAAATGGTGTCGTTGTTGTCATTTGAAACCAGTCTGGCCTAACTCGGTGGGTGCTATATCAATCCATTGTAGTATTGTATAAAGATAAGGGGCAATCATCAAATATAGTGCAATCGCTAAGGCCATTATCATAATAAGGCTTTACGATGCGAAGAGAGGACGTCGTAAATCAGAATTGCTACTTAAATAGTTTGCATATTTCAACATCGTAAATCAGAATTGCTACTTAAATAGTTTGCATATTTCAACATCGTAAATCAGAATTGCTACTTAAATAGTTTGCATATTTCAACATCGTAAATCAGAATTGCTACTTAAATAGTTTGAATATTTCAACGTCGTAAATCAGACTTGCTACTTAAATAGTTTGCATATTTCAACATCGTAAATCAGAATTGCTACTTAAACGTTTGCATATTTCAACGTCGTAAATCAGACTTGCTACTTAAATAGTTTGCATATTTCAACATCGTAAATCAGAATTGCTCCTTAAACGTTTGCATATTTTAACGTCGTAAATCAGACTTGCTACTTAAATAGTTTGCATATTTCAACATCGTAAATCAGAATTGCTACTTAAACGTTTGCATATTTTAACGTCGTAAATCAGACTTGGTACTTAAATAGTTTGCATATTTCAACATCGTAAATCAGAATTGCTACTTAAACGTTTGCATATTTTAACGTCGTAAATCAGACTTACTACTTAAATAGTTTGCATATTTCAACATCGTAAATCAGAATTGCTACTTAAATAGTTTGCATATTTCAACGTCGTAAATCAGACTTGCTACTTAAACGTTTGCATATTTTAACGTCGTAAATCAGACTTGCTACTTAAACGTTTGCATATTTCATTTCTAATTGTTGAGGAATTGGAAGACCAAAGAACCCATCGATCCAGAGACAATTGAAACCAGAGACCAAGGGACCCAGAGAGCAAGGTACCCGGAAACCAAGGGACCCAAAGACCAAAGTATCCAAAGACCAAGGGACCAAGGACCCAAACACCAAAGTATCCAAAGACCAAGGGACCAGGACCCAAAGACCAAGGGACCCAGAATCAAGGTACCCAAACCAAGGGAGCCAGAGACCAAGGGATCCAGAGACCAATGAAACCAGAGACCAAGAGATCCAGAGACCAAGGGACCCGCAGACCAAGTGACCCAGAGACCAAAGGATACAGACACCAAGGGACCCAGTCACTAAGGGGCACAATGATAAAGGAACAAGGAACCACAGCCCCCCCCCCTTTTCCTACGCCCCTGGAGCTATGAATCCGCTTTTAGAAAATTCCTCAATTATGGATTGGTCCTAACACAACGAATCAGGTAATGCTCCATAAAACTTCCTATACAAATCTCAAATGTATTTCTTGCGTGATAAATTTTCCGACATTTACCTGGAAACTTTTGAAACGTGCCCCTGCATTGTTGAAGGTTATGAACAGAAATATTAGACTAAGAAGTGTTGTTTCTTTTTCTTCATTTATCACACGCTAAAACAAATTTGTGTTGAATTTTATTTTATTTTTAAAAACGTATAATACATTTTTTTTTTAAAACTTGCGGAAATATCCAATGCGCATGCCAGAGACCGGAGTCGGTGTCAGAAAAGATGTCAGAATCCCCAACCACCTTAGCAGTAACCGGACAAATGAGTAAAAATTGAGGCTCAGAATTAATGGAAACCCTTACCATTTCCTATAATATTGGTGTTTCCTGTTTGCATGGTGTGAAAAATCTCTGAGAATGTTGAATGGTGCACGATGGTTTCAGGATGGTGCAGTGCGTACTTTTTGGTGTCCTAATAATACATTTTAAACGGGGGGGGGGAGGGGGGAGCTCTGACATGAGATAAATCAGTCCCTGATACAGAATTTCTACAACAGGCTGACTTTATCAGCATCCATAATTTAATATAAAAAGGACACGACAGATGAGCGGGACGCGTGCTGTGAGAATGCCAGACGGCAGACTTCCTAAACAACTAATGTTCGGTGAAATGTCCAGAGCGAAACGCTCAGTAAAGACGGTTTAAAGAGTGCCTAAAGGCTTCCCTTAAATCCATGGACATCGACCTAAATTCATGGGGGGAAACACTTGTGAATCGTACAAGCTGGCGTGGCAGACTCAACGCTGGAGCACAACCCTCAGAATAAACGCACCGCTCACGCCAAAAGTATAATAATTCAAGGACTGCATTCAAGCCTAGTAAATGAAATAGCAAAACGAGGTGTGTGGAAGCTTGAATCAGAGACCAGGACGAAAGGCTCAGGACGTTTCGGCATAGAGCCTTCTTCAGCACACAGGGAAAATGATAGCGCACGGCAAGGAAAAGCAGCATTTCATCCAATACACTTAGAACGGGAATGGAACGCGCGGGGGGGGGGGGGTAGGGTTTCAAGGCACAAATATGACTGGCGGGCCCCTTGCATAGCCTTGGTCATCTTTGCGTGCCAGGGTCGAACAACACATACGCTAAGGAGAGAGTCTTATTTTTTACTTATCTACAAAATGACATACACTTCCCCTTTCGCACAAACGTATGTACAGTTGTGTTACAATACAAGATCAATATGTAAATATATATGGTTATAACAAGAGCAGCAATATGTAAAATTATATGTTTGTATGTCCATAAACTATATTTAAATTAGAAAACGAAAACAATTTGATTTCGAATTTATTACCAGACTTTTATATCAAGTTGTGTCCTTTTTCCAATATCCATTTTTTTCATACGTCTTTCTTTCTTATGTACTAAATCATTCATTGCACATAATAGGGCTACCGTTTCGTTCCTAAAATTTTGTTCATCATACACTAGGCCTATAGTTAAGTTACTAAATTTAAAAAAAATATATATATATAAATTTGTAGTGACTGTTTATTTCTTGTGATCCAGAATTATTGGGGGGGGGGAGGAGGAGGAGGAGAAGAAGCCAATGGTTTTTGGAGGTTATAAAATGTCATAAGAAGCAAAGCCAAGGAAAGAAATCTTTACTTCGCTGGACACCGTGATCTTTAGTAACTTATATTTCAAGAGTGGCAAGTCCTGCCTGTGGCATATACCCTTTTTGGGCCCATCTCGTTGAATATTTTTAGTTCACATTTTGTTACTCATTTTGTTTCCCACTCATCAGCTTCACCAAAATGACATCATTTTGATAATAATATAATAAAATAGGGCTGAACCGGGTGCAGTTTTTTTTACACCGGGTCAGGCTATTATGAGAAAAAGGCCTACAAACAGTCCTACACCTTACCTGCCGACCTTTAACAGGTGACCGGACGGGTCTACACCCTACCGGCCAGCCTTTAAACAATAGTCCTACAGACAATCCTACACCATACCATGGGTTCTTAAATTGATTAACATAATAGTCGCCTAACCCTACAGAATTTTTTTTTACCAGAGTTCAAAGTCACGCATGAAAGCCTTTTTTCCCACTCAATACTATTAATATAAAACATGTGGAGTTGGAGCGGACAGTTTCGAACAGGAAGCAGGATATACCAGAAGCAATGTATATATATATATATATATAATTTTTATATAATCACAGTAATTGAGTTTAAGGAATGAAAGTGTATAAAATATGTTTTATAAAAAAAAGAATATATATGAAAAAATATATATATATATATATATATATATATATATATATATATATATATATATATAATTTTTATATAATCACAGTAATTGAGTTTAAGGAATGAAAGTGTATAAAATATGTTTTAGAAAAACTATCTTATTTAATAATGATTAACCCTGGTGTTAAGGTCTCTATATATGTATATGTTATACGATTTTTGATAAATGTTGAATATTATGACCAAATATATGTTGTTTTTAGTAATCTAGTTAAAGGGGGAACAAATTATTTCTAAGCCTTATTTCATTGCTTTTAGGGATTATATTTTATTTTTTTAGTTGGTGGTGAGTTAAGTTTTTTAACAGCTTTAGTTCACGCATGCGCATGTCCTAAATTTGTAAATCATATTTCCTGAACGAATATTTTCTTAGTTTCATAAAGTTGTGATAACTTTTTCATGCTATTTTAGTCTTTTAAGATAACAAACATATTTTAATATTACCAGCATGTATGCTGCCGTTGAAAATAATGCAGGCAATGTCCCTGCATTTTTAATTAAACTTTGGACACTTGTTGAGGACCCTACAACTGATGAATTAATTCACTGGGACTCGGTGAGAACGTTAAGTACGGTTAAGATAGGCTACATAATAAACAAGTTTTCCCAAAATTTATCGTCAGGGGTGGCTTTGTCCCTCTACTGATGGTGGATATACGTGCTAAATAAGTATTCGATCTTTATAATTATAAATATTCCATGTTTTGGGGGTCAGACCAGGCTATATTTACAAAAATAATAGGCGTAAAAGTAGGCTCATTTAGTTTAGCATTCCCAGAAGAACTCTGATGCCAAAGCCAAAAATAAAACCCAAAAGACCAATGATTAAATTTAGTTTATGATTTATCTATTATAAAATATGAGGACAAAACTATAAGCCTGATATAAATATGCTATATATAAACTCTATTCCTAATATAACATATTATTAACATCATTGATAATGATACATCAGTGTTGAGTGTTAAATTTAACTAAATAATGGTTCAACTAGTTAACTAGTATTCAAGAGTTATCTCCTTCCCATATTTTTCTAAACCTTAACTTGATGTAAAACACAGATAGATCATAACTTTTTTGTTAACATTTAGTTTACACTCCCAACTCAGAAAAATTAGGCCCATTTAGAATTAGATTTTTAAAATTTAATGAGGTTCATTTGGTTATTAAATATTAAGAGGAATAAGCAGATATTTTAATATTTTCATTGTGTGTCTTTACTCTTAGTTTTGTTAATTTGTCTATCAATGTCATTCAATATCATGTATAGAGAATTGTCGGTTAAGACTCTTCCAAAAACAAATCCTTAACTGTCACCATAATTTAAACTTTCATTCAAAATGAGGGATGCAATAGTATTTTAGAACATTTTTTAAAAAGCTATATGACTATATGCAGTGTTAATTATGCATTAAAACTATTAAAGTGTAAAACACATTTATAATGTCAGTGAATCAACCCCTGACCTATGCATCACAACACAAATTATACTATTTGTTTGAGATTATAAAATTTATATTGTTATTAAGAATCATAATGTTTGTAAATTACTTTATTTAAAAAAAAAAAAAAACAGTGATGGGACAGAGGAAAATTAATAAACAATTATTTCAAATTTTTCAACACAATCAACTATGTATAATTAGTTTATATTTTATATTTTCCATAAAAGATCATGAAATGATTTCTATTACCCTCACTTTCAATGAAGAAATTTGACATTGTGCTCACTGAAACAATGTATAGATCGTAATCCATCCAAAAACAATGTATATGTTATAATCAAGCCAGAGTTGTCATCCTTTTTTGTCTTCCCCTACAGCTGCTCAGTTGTATGGTCACATAAACAAGATTTTAACAGCATATCCTACACTGATCAGTGTCTATCACTTCTAATTGATTCTATGCTCTTGTATCATTTTGCTGTACTCAATTTTTATAAGCTTGGGTGGGTAATAAGTTTTTCAAGAAGATTTTTTTGTGTTATTGCTGCTACTAACTGGCTTAATCAATTTCTTTTTACAATGAAAAGGTGCAAGTTATACCAGCTTTATAAATCCACTGACATCAAAATTATTAAATCAATACATTTGCAAACTTTTGTTAAATTAAACATTATATTTTATTTTAGAGCGGTACAAGTTTTCATGTGTACGATCAGCAGAGATTCTCTAGGGAAATACTTCCTCTCTACTTCAAACACAACAATATTGCAAGTTTTATTCGGCAGCTTAACATGTGTAAGTATTTATAACTTCAAGGAATGCAATGGCAGTATCATTTTATTTTCTGTTTTGAAATGAGGTAACTTGTTATTGTATTTATCGTTAATATTTTCTTCACCTTACAGTTGATGAATTTTTAGTTAAAACACAATTCGATACTTTAAAATATATTTTTCTATCATTTGTTTATCAGTCAATTATTGCGAATTACATTGCAGATGGATTCAGAAAAGTCACTCACATAGATCAAGGTGGCCTGAAAATTGAAAAGGATGATTTACAATTTCAGCATCAGTTTTTTCAGCGGGGTGAGCAGGACATGCTGCAGTTTATCAAACGGAAGGTTAGTTCAGTTGTTTTAATAATAAATAAAGTGTGGCTCATGGAGTCCAAAAATGACATTGCATTGATTGTTAATTTATTTTATATGGCTTGTGTTGCTTTGATGCATTTGGTTTTTGTTTTATTTTGTCATTGATTGATTTAATAAGTAAGATGTTTTCCATCATAAATAATCAGTGCATTTTTTAATATTTATGATGGATGATATTTTCTTAAATCTTTTATGATTAATTTAATTTTATTTACTTTAAGGCTTTACTGAGATAATTTTGAGTCAATGTTTTGGTGCCTTAGGAAAATAAATAACTTTCACAATACTTAAAATTTAAATCCCCCACAAGATGCTGATTTTTCGTGTTAAAACATGACCTTTTGTTCTAGGTGTCAAACCAAGCTGTCCGCACAACAGATCACTTGGCCCCATCGAAAACAGATGAAGTGTCCCGGGTGTTGTCTGACATGAAGCAAGTCAAGACCAAGCAAGATTCGATGGATCAAAATCTGGAGTATATCAAAAGGTTTCTGTGATCATCTTTGCTGTGGCAGAATGTAAACTGATTTGTGTTTTAAACATTTTTATTCGAGTCAAGGTATAATCTAAAAAAAAAAGAATAATTTATCACTTGGGGCTTTCTCTAAACTCTGTAGTGTGCATTTAAGTTACAGCATATAAATTAAGAGTCAAAAAGCTTCTTTTAAAAACCATATCGCTTCAGTTACTTGTGTCCCATCATTAGGCCTGACATGCTGCAGATCAGGACAGACTTTTGGGTTACCGGAAATTTGTTTGAAAGAAATTTGGTAGATGGCAAATATATTTACGAATGTTGTTTTTTTTTTAATGGAACTTAGGTTGGACAGAAATTTTTGTTCAAGTTTATTTTTAGTGTCGTTTTAGAGGTGGAGTTAGAAATGGTGAGATTTGTGCCAACAGAAGCTTTTTGGTATGGAATTTGGCTCGAATTTTTTTTTTTTTTTTAAACGTTAAGTCTAAAAGTTGCAAGTGAGAATCAGGGAAATTTGTTCAAACAGAATTTAGTTTAGCTGAGTTTTGTTTTAACTTGCAAAATAGAAATACACCCACTAAAATTTTGATTTATTTCAATAAGTTTTGGTACCATTTCGATTTTTTTTACTTTATAGAATGTCAGATAATCTCATTTGTCATGTGGGACCAAACTGATCTCTAACAAAAAAAGCTATTTTCTAAGGTAATAAGTGGTATAAACTTGACGTTTACGCCGTGTTTGGTATATAGGAGGTACTTAAAATGGCCTCCTTGTCTGAAATAACCTTAGATAAAAGCACACAAAATAAATAAAAACTAGTACAGAAGTTGATTGCTTGATGATACATTTATTGGAATTGCAAAAACTTCAAAAAAACTTTCGTGCCCATGTTGATTTTAACTGGCAAAAGTGTTTTAACTAAACAAAGTGAAGAAAAATAATCATGCATCTGATAGTACCAAAAATGAAGTGAATAAAATATGAACAGGATTAAAAGTCATGCTGTAAATACATGTGACTATCCTCATTATTTTTTGTCTAATGATTCGTTGAATTATTTAAACCCGGCAACAGGTCTACTCTCTTCAGGTAAAACTACAGTTTAACATTTTTATTTAAAAATCAAGCAAATATCCGGTAGAAAAACTTTTCTTATCCGACTTGCACCTTTAGTAACTTAGCAAAGCAACAAAATAACAAACAAAAAATTTCTTTTCGACCAAATTTCCATCAATCAATTTTCCATCGCCCAAATTTAGTTCAAATAAATTTCCTGACACAAAATGTTTATTATGGCCATTCTGTTATTTTAATTGTTTGAAACAGTATAATCTATAATAAAATGTTAAATGGCTGAAATCGACTTACTTATTGACTGCATCATATATTACAGAGAAAACAAGCTTCTCTGGAGGGAGGTCGCCATGTTGAGACAAAAACACCACAAGCAGCAACAAATAGTCAACAAGGTCGGTGGCTTTTTAGCAACAGCTCTATATATGGACCTTTCCTAATATTCGGGAATCATGGACAGTTACTATATTTTGTGCTCAGAAATTCAGCCCTATTGTCTATTAGGCATTATTCAAACAAAGGAATAACCAATTCATGGCCTCTGAGATTCTGTGACATAGTTCTCTTGACAGTTGTATATGAAATAAATTTAAATATAATTTTGTATTTTAAGTTCTCTTTTCTTCAATGAATTTTTTTAAGGTTTTTGCTTTGAAAATAAAAAAAATTATTCAACCATTATGCACGTCTTTTAATTTTAGTCCAATGTTTTAATTCATTAATTTAAAAATTTAATTAATGGAATTTTTTTTAAATTCCAACTACCAAAATTGTTTCCTTAATCTTTGAGTTAATTTTAAGAACCTAGTGTTCTAGTTTAAGAACATGTTCTATTTAACTGAATCAATTTTGTTGCCTTTATATTTTTTGTTCTGGCTAGTTTTCTTTAAATTGGTTCATTTGAATTATGCCATCCTTCTCCAGCTCATTCAGTTCCTAGTGTCCCTTGTCAGTAACCGCACAGGTCTGACCATTCCAACGATACGGCGTGTTCCTCTTGCCATTAATGATGTCAGCCAGCTTGCCAAGCAGAGCACTGCTAATTCCCACCAGTCATTTTTGGGTAATGAGGATGCTGTTCCCAAAAATGATATGATGGGTTTTAACGTAAGTTACAGTAGTGTTGTCGAGTAGGATTATTAAAAGAAAATTATTCATAAAAATATAAAAATTATAGTCTTTTATAAAATTTAACTTAAAAATCTGTCCTCCATATATTATTGCCATAGCCATACTCTGGCACACTAAGCTGTCATCCTTATATTATTACGGTAGCACTTATGGCTTTTCTATTTTGCTGATCGGCCTCATAATGTTATTGGAATTATATCTGACTAGTTTTGTATGTTATAAAATAAATAAATCAGTGAACATTTTAAGAAACTGTTCCAACTACTCATTTATTCCTAATGGATTCATTAACATGCACAGAAAAAAAAACTGGTTGTCAAATTATTTATTTATAACTTAGCCTTGGGCACTCATTACTCAAAGCTAGCTCATTTGTTTGTACATATAAACCTGTGTAAGCATCCAGATAATTACATAAAACAGCAAGTGTTTGATAATGCTCTGGATTTATCCTAGTAGCTGTAAGACAGTGGATCTCAACCTTCCTAATGCCACGACCCCTGTAAAACAGTTCCTCATGTTGTGGGGCTACTTTATAAATGTGTGTTTTTCCGATGGTCGTCTGCAACCCCTGTGTAAGGGTTGTTCGAACCCCAAAGGGGTCGGGACCCACAGATTGAGAACCCCTGCTGTAAGATAAATGTTTTTTTTTTGTTTTGTTTTTTTACTAATAGGAACTTTACTTGTTTCACAGTTGATTGGCAAGTTACTATTTTAACATGTTATTTTTATATCACTAGAAAGTATTGTTATTTCAACAATGTCTAATTTGTAACAGAATTCCCACATAGAGTTATCTTCACCAACTCATAGTGTTGATATTACAGATGAGCCTTTTACAGATGAGCAATACACCATTGAATCTGTGAGTATATACTTGCAAAAAGATATCATGATTGATTATGGTGGTCATGTTCAACTGCAACTGACCAACTATATATAGAAAGAGAATATTTATATGTATAATATGTGTAATGTTTATGTTTATATGTATGTATATACATATATATTTATCAATCACTCAAAGTTATATTTGCAATGTCATAGAGAGAGGATAATAATAGAAATGCGCTGCTTGTTTTTATTGTTAATTATATACAACAATTTTTGTAACCGCTTTAGAAAAGCAAGTTTTTAATTTTTGTTATTTAATTTTAAAAATGTTTTACCATGTTTTTTTTAACGTATCAAAACAGGGTAATATTTGCAAATTTTGCTATGCATACATTAAACTGTATTATGTGAACGTATCGCAGCTTAATGATTTCTGGAATCTATGGATAAAGGAAGGGTTTATTTTTTAATATCCTCTCTATTATGATTTATGGGGACTAAACAAAATTATATTAAATATTTGTTGACCTATTTCAGCCAAAAATTGGAGATTTTCTCTTACCACCAACGCCCAACAACAGTGGCCCCATAATTCATGAGCTCACGGAAAACGCCCAGACCATCCTGGTACCAGCGACTCAATTAACTGTGGTAAACATGCTTTCATAGAAATGTTTAGCTGAAAATGGGAAATAACTCCTACACAGAGTCTTAGGGTTTGATTTCCAAAATGCCTATTGTCTGTTCCAGTCTGTCAATCTGTGAACTGTGTTTCTGTCTATCAGTGTGTGAACTATCAGTTTTTATCATTTTGAAAAAACTTTTCTACCATTCAAATTTGACTTTTTAAATCAAAACTTTTTGACGATGGTTACCAAACTTTTGCGACTCTCAGCCCTCTTGCTGAATCTGGGTTTTTTCTCGGCTCTCCATGTCAAATAGTAGCCAGTACACTATAAAAAAAATGCAAATGATATTATAAAAATCAAACACTTTGACTAGACAAAACTATTTATACCTTGACACAAAGTACACGGTAAAAGTGCAAGAAACCAATAATTTAATTATTGTTAAGCACCTTTTAGTTACCATTTGCAAAACATTTACTGCTGAGTTACTGCTTTGCACAAAGACCTATCACGGTGAATTCAAAATGAAATTAAAATACAGGTAATCAAAATTGAGTAATTTGTCGCTGCATCCCTGTGAGATAGCCACTCACCCCATTGTGCCACGATGCACACTTTGGGAACCACTGCTTAAGTGTATTCCTTATTTACCCAGCTCATTTCTCTTGACATTTGAGAGTAGAATAAGAAAAATTCAAAGTCTCTGTAAAATATTCTATTTATTATATTCTAATAAAATATTCTAAAATATATTTTTTGTAATATCTTTCTTTGGTAGCCATTTGAAGTTGAAATGTCTTATCTTAAAGTAAAGAAAATTAAAGGTGAGCTAATGATTTTTTTGTATATTTTTAAAGGTGAACCCTGAAGTGAAAGTCTCAGATGATGATCTGCTTACATCAATTTTAAAGTCCGAACCAGTTAGTACAATTTTATCTTCTATTTAAGTTAAGTGTTGAAATAAATAGTCTCTAGATTAAATTGAAATAGATAGGCTCTGGATCAAATTGATATAGCCTCTGGATCAAATTGAAATATAGTCCTGGATCAAATTGAAATAGTTTCTTGATCAAATTTAAATAGTGTCTGGATCAAGCTCTCTTCAACTGTTTACAGGAGTAAATATTTGGTTCCATCCTGTTGCAGAACAGATTGAGGGGGAAAGGCGCCACACCTTACTTGTCATATACCAGTAAAATATATGTGATTAGTGGCAGATGCATTGCCGCTCCCTTCCTACCTAGGTGATATGATGTATAATATCTAAATGTTGAGGCAAAAAAAAAAGGCACGCACTGTAAAAAGTGCACACAGCCCTTCAACTAAGTTAGAAAAAGAAAAAAATGTTTATTTAACCTCTGTCAATGTCTCTTACTGGGTCTTTCTATTACTCTGTCATCTTCAACTCCACTAAATTGACTTTAGCTGCCTTGTACACATTACTTTCTCTTATACCAGCCAGGCTTTTCTCTGAGCCTCCTGCTACCCCAGCAGAGAATGCTTAATGAGCTTGATGTACACTCACCAGCCTGGCTGCTTGTTTGGCTGGAAACTGAAGAACTTGCCTTGTATACCACAGTTTAATGATCTTCAACCATTTTGCCATTGTGTATTCCAGGAAACACCTCCTCCTGCTCCTCCTGTGGTGCAGAGGAACATCTCGGTGCTGGCGCAGCCTCCCATCATACCTAAAGTCACAGCAACTTTGCCAGATCCTCTGAATTTTTTAATGTCTCCAAAAATAGAGGCTGCTCCTTCTTTAGAAGATGCCCTGAACTATGGCCTCAATGTTCCGTCTAGTTCCGGCAGCTCCGTCTCCACAGCACCTCAGTCAGCCACAGGTTCACAGAAGGTAAGGAATTGATATCTGTTTTGAGAAAGCCCCGAAAGTGTTATGTAAACTAACTAGCAAAATGTTAATATGGATAGGGGTGGTCAAGTGGTCTGAACTGAGTCAATCCCAAGCTTGTGGTCTGAACTGAGTCAATCCCAAGCTTGTGGTCTGAACTGAGTCAATCCCAAGCTTGTGGTCTGAACTGAGTCAATCCCAAGCTTGTTGTCTGAACTGAGTCAATCCCAAGCTTGGGGTCTGAACTGAGTCAATCCCAAGCTTGTGGTCTGAACTGAGTCAATCCCAAGCTTGTGGTCTGGAGTTCAATCCCCACCAAAGACCTAGACATGCAAAAACATCACCAGTGATTTGCTGTCTAGGAAACCAGCTTATAGGCCTATAGAAAAAATCACAGTCCTGTGACTTTTGTGATTTAGTTCTGCCAAGTCCGCACCATTGTCACAATGTGACGGACCGACGCCATTAAAAAAAAATGATTGTAAGACATTTAAGTGTCATGAGTCTTAAGTTGAAAATGTTTATTTCGATTACTAACAAATCTTAGTGAATATATGTGTGTGTATATATATATATAGGTCTGATTCCACTTTGTTGCAGCGCAAGAGAAAAATAGTTACACTGCCACCAACCAACATCAAGAAACTCAACAGTCAGGCCCCAGATCCAATCGGCACAAAAAGGGAAATGTCTAATGCTCAAGCGACCACCTTGAAAAATCTGGTCATGGCCAACTCTGACCTGAACTCTTCAGCCCCTGACGGTGTGGCGGCAACATGTTCTGACGCCAGCCTGGCTGTGACTGCGCCCAAGGATACAGATGATTTTACTCTCAGGTGCCAGATATTTTAAACATTTATGGGTGAAATAGTTTTTGACTGTTACAGAAACAGTGAGTTGTAGTAGTGCTTCAAAATTATGCGATTCATATGTCCTGAGTGAATACAATCTTAACATCTTTAGCATAAATTTACTACTAACCTGAAGAACTAAATGAAGCTATCATTTCAAATTTAACAAATAAAAAAAAAAAATTTCAATGATGCCAAACAATATTTTTTCCCCAAAGTTTTTACAAAATTTTTTAAAGTGTTTCTCATAATCATTTGAATAGACATAGTGTTTGCTTTTGAACGACTTATTGTAAGATGTGTAAGAAAGTGAATCTGTAGTGTCTCAATAATACAAGAAGGCTAAACATTTATGTTTTGATGAATTTTTTCGAAATATGGTCAAACCTAGCATTCAGTGAGCTGTTTTATTTAAGAAAGATGAATAATGGCTCAGAAGATGAATACTGGCTCAGAAAGACCATATTAAAACAGAAGTTTTCATCCATTGTTTATTGATGCCATTGTATCTTCCCAGTTCTGATCAGCTGGACTTATTGTCTTCCGACCTTGATGGACTAAAAGGCATACTTCAAGATCAATACAAGGTGGACCCTTCCTTCCTCATGGAGGTAAGATATTGCTTTATTTTAAAATTTTGGTTATTTCGGTGCACATGATGAGGAAAACCCAAAGTATTCTGATACATTTATCCCATGGGTTAAAATTAGTGGGATTTGAATATACCATCCCTTCATGCTTGGGCTGTGTCTTATTCATTTTCCATCCTAATGAGAGAAGATTCTTTATTAATCCAAATAAATGGAAATCTTTTTTATTTTATTGTTCGTATTCATTTTCAGCACATAAATAAATACATATTTAAACCAAGACAACATTTTATAGTTATAACAATTTAATCACAAGAAATCTAAAGTATTTCTCTAGTGAGAAATCAGCCGTAAATGAACTCCTTTAGTGACAATAATAACTTAACTAGTGATCATTTCGATTTGGTATTATATAATATGAGGCTATCTCTGAGGATATTAATTTGTTTTCTATTAAAATGCCTTATACTTATTTCAGCTCTTTGATTCCTCCAATCCATGGCCCCTCTCTACAGACAAGGTAATCTTTAATTATGGTGATAAAATCATAAAATTGGCATAGTTTTCTGAATTGGAATGTGAAAGCTGATAATGTTTGAAAGGAAACTACTATTTTAAGTAATTTTGAAGAAAAAAAATCTTGATTAAAATTGAGTGAAAATTAACATTACAGTAGTGCTAAGATTGTCCAACACCTGCCACAGCTGTGTAAAGCATAAAAGGGAAAATATCCCAGTTACTCCCCCACCCCCCCCCCCCCCTCTCTCTTTCCCAGAGCTTGTGTCCAGAGGACTTTGAAGAAGATATTTTTAAAGGAATTTGAAAAATTATACACCTTTGAAAATCCTGAACAAGAGGTGGCTGACAATGGAATTCAATTGTTTTTCAGTGGCCTACACAGCAGTGTAAAAATAATACCAAAAACAAGTGAAGAGTTCCATCATAAATCGGTTGAATGCAATCTATTATCAACTCATCATTTTTCTATTATTTATGTATTTTTGCCGCCTTTTATTGCTAGCCTCAACATATAATGGTAGTATTTTTTTCTGCCAGGATTTTGATGATCTTCGAACCGACAATGAGAGAGATGAAGCCGGTACTTCTGGCCATGGCAACATCACAGGTAGAACCATCTTTATGATTCCACAGCATAAAAAAAATTTCTTCTTTGTCACTTTCTCTTAAATAACAGGGTATTGTTCCCTTCTTGGTTTTTTTTCTCTCAAAGCAAATGCACCATTGTTGCTCTATTATAATTAAACTACCAATGTGTACAAAACTAAAATTTAAACAGATTCCAGCATAAACTACGCGCCAGGAACCCAGCAAATCTTACAAGTTCAGTAAGGCAAACTGGGACAAGATCAAACTAGATCTCGCCGCCGCTGAACAGATCATCCTAAAAAAATATAACGAGGGAGAGGATGTAGATACAGTTATGGTCGACCTTCAAAAATACCTTAACCAACAGCATAGATCAAAATATCCCATCAGTTACAGCAAAGAATCCATGTCATCTACCATGGCTAAACGCACGGCTCAAGAAGCTGCTGAAGAGAAAGAAAAGACTGTTGAAGAAAGCCCAAACTACCAACAACTGGACCCTGTACCGCCAGGTCCAGAAACATTGTCGTAGGGAACTAAGAAGAGAAGAGTGGCAGTACATAAATGGAGTCAATAAGGCCTCCAAGAAGGCCTCGAAAACAACAACACAAAACCCTTCTGGCGCTACATTAAATCCAGGAAGCAAGACAACATAGGCGTAGCCCCCCTACTAGAAAACGGGCAACTTGTAAGTGATGGCCAATGCAAAGCAGCAATTCTGCTAAAACAGTTTCAATCCGTCTTCACCAAGATCTCCACCACAGTCATACCATCCCTAAAAACCTTCAACTGGTACAATAGGTCCCCTCAACATTACTGAAACCGGAGTAGCAAAACTTCTCAAAAACCTGAAACCCAATAAAGCGCTCGGACCTGACTGTATCCCGAACATTGTCCTGAAGACCCTGGCTGACAACATCGCCCCAACCATGACCCACATTTCCAAAAGTCGCTTGACTCCGGCAAACTCCCTCTAGACTGGCTTGATGCAAACATCACTAGTGCCTACAAGAAAGGTGACCGTCATAACCCAGCAAACTACCGCCCAATATCCCTGACCTCCGTTTCATGCAAAATCCTGGAACACAGCATCTATCGCCACATCATGAGCCACCTTGAACACTACAACATTTTGACCAACCTAAATCACGTTTTCTGCTCCGGATTCTCAACGGAAACTCAGTTACTCATCACCACCAATGACCTCCTAGCCTCCTATGACAAAGGCACCCAGGTTGACATGGCAATTCTCGACTTCTCCAAGGCTTTCGACACAGTTCCACACAGCCTTCTTCTACATAAGCTCCACCACTATGACATTACCCGCAACCTTCACTCCTGGCTCTCAACATTCCTAACACAACGTACCTTGCAAGTAGTGGTAGATGGCGTCAAATCAAGGAAAGCCACCGTAGACTCAGGAGTTCCACAAGGCACACTGCTGGGCCCCCTTCTCTTTCTCTGTCACATAAACGACCTACCTGATACAGTAAATTCTATAGTGCGGCTGTTCGCTGACCCTGTTTGCGGTCTTATCTACAGAGAGATAAACAGCAACAATGACCACAACCACCTCCAAACAGATTTGAAGTGCCTTTTGAATTGGGCGGACAAATGGGGCATGAAATTTAATGAAACCAAATGCTACACTATGACCATCTCAAGAAAAAAAACATCAACTCATATTTACTCAGTAAACGAGACAATCCTCCAACAAGTCAACAGGTATCCAATAGTCCATACCTTGGAATTATCTTCTCAAATAACCTAAAATGGTCACCCCATGTAAACAAAATTTCAAAAAAAGCCAACTCCACCCTAGGTTTCATCCGAAGAAATCTGCGCCACTGCCCAACTACCTGCAAACGGAATGCCTATCTCGCACTCGTCCGTCCACTACTGGAATATGGTGCGATCATCTGGGACCCACACCTTAAGCAAGACGTGGACACGACAGAGCGAATTCAACGTAACGCTGTGCGTTTATGGCTTGCGACAACAAATCCACCACTCCTGGCTTCGTCACTGGCCTCTTAAAAAGATTTGACATCCCTCCCCTTAAAGACAGATGAGAGGGACTCCGCCTGACATTCTTATATAAAGTGATCATGGGATGTACAGCAGGCATGTACACCACCCCACAGAAGCCAAGTAGACTGATAAGAGCAAAACGCTCACTGAACACGGACTTCAGCACTGACATTCCCATAAACAATTACACCAGAAACAATAGCAAATGCTTCAAAGTGCCTCAGTGCAACACAGTGCTGTATCAACAATCTTTCTTCCCATGCACAATAATAACATGGAACAACCTGAACGATGCCACTGTGAACTCGACATCAGTCGAAAGCTTCAAGGCTGCCCTGGCATCAGCTAGGAGCTGTTAGAATAGCAACATCATACCCCCAACCGTTGCAAAGATGCCAGTACATGGATGCGGCAACATAACATAACCAAAACTAGGATATTAGCTAAATCTCTCTGTACGCCATTGGATAACATTTAAAAAGGAGTTGTTTTCTTGGTGTTTAAATTTCCTATGATCAGAAATCTTTTTTAAATGGATTTATTAAATTGTATTCCCTTACTGGAATACAGACTTTATCAGTTAATATGCATGTATGGTTAATTAATGGCAATTTTAAAATGAAATTATTATTTAACATTAGAATTAATCATTCCAGTATCTCTAATGAACTTTATCTTCATTTGAATTATAAATATACATTGGACCCCGCTATAGTACACCCTGGCCCTGCTTTACTGCAAATTGGGATAGATCACAGTTGGGACATGGCTTCTGAAATTTCGTGTGGAAAAAAAATAGCATACAAAAAAAAAATTATCACAATCCCAAATCCACTTAATCAAGCTAGTCCAACTTTCAACACCGCGTAACTCACCAATCACAAGAGATTCAAAAAATCCTTTTTTTTTTTTTTTTAAAAAACCAAATCATCTATTACCCCTCTATACTTTTAATTCTTACTTCTTTCACTTTTTTTTAATTTTAAGTGAATTGGTTCATCCCATTGTCTCATAATAATTCTCTTGACATAAATTTGTTTTCACTTACAAGGATAGATTATTATTTGTAAAATGTATTTTATCACGTCCATATTCCCACTAAACAACTATTGAGTATGACAGAGATGTTTTTATTTTACAGTAATATCTTGAATTTTACGAAATGTACACCGACATGAGGCTAATAGGACCTTGAACATGATAATGTCAAGAGTTTTAAAATAAATGTATTTTGACTTTTTGCTAAAAGGGCTATATAAAAATGTTAAATCGTTTTGTGATTAGTTTTTATTTGACTTACAAATGAATAGTTTTTCAATGACTTACTTACCCATCAAAACTATCAAAATTAGCCTCTGCCGGTGTTCACATTGTCTTTTAAACCTTACAGATCACTGCAGGCATATTTATCTTTAGATAATAATGTGGATTTGTTTCTTTCCATCCTTGATCGCAAACTGCAGGAACCGAACTAGTGGAGTACAACCCGCGAGACGATCTGTTTCCTGAACTGCTGGATGACAACATTATGGGTGACATTGATGACATTGACTAGACAGATGGCAGGGCCCCGTAGTGCTGGCATATGTGAACATGTCCGTATGCCGCTCTACTCGACGATGTATGCTGAGCTGTCATGTAGAGCTTGATGCTGCTCCAATCCTTCCAAGTATTCAAATGTGCTACGAGTTCAGCCATGCTGGGGGGAGCTTCAAGCTGTTACTTGTCCAATGAGCTGGTCACTTCAGTGCCATAGGGATAATGAGCCATAATGTGAGTTGAGTTGGGCCTCTCCACCAAACATTTTTCAAGCATTGTTTGTTCTTTGCTGCTATGACATTCACAGTGTTTTTTGGCCACACACGATGTCGGTTACATATCACACACCTATGCCCCCTGGGAAAGTGCCTGTCAAGTGAGGCGGGGCCGGCTGGAGAAAAGGAGGCATTGGTGTGCACAGGCAGACGCATCAAAATTGTTTATTGTTCTTATACCAAGTTACAGACTGTCTCATGGCTTTCCCTTTTGTGGTTTTTATCCGAGAATACATAATGCAGTGGTATCTAATATCTGTTCTTGCTTCCATGTTAAGTGTATCACACAATAGCTTTTGTAGCCCTTGCCGTAAGATCTAAGCATTGACAGCTAGCTATATTCGATAGAATCATTGTTAATAAAGAGTACTGTACCCTTTAATGCCTTCCCTACTTGTTAATCTGTGCAGTTAATAATTTATGGTGCATTTTTATATGAAAAAGATTGAAAAGAGATTTTTTTTTTTTTTTAATAATTTTTAAAAATTTGCTTTGCATCGGTCAACATATTTTTTATCATTGTTATCAATTAATGGTTTAATTCATATAGATTATTTAGATGTTTTAATTTTATTCACATTGAACAATTTTATCCAAACTGCAAGAACAGCTGAGTAACATTTGTTTAGGGCTGATATTTTGTTTGAATTTTATATTAAAAAAATAAAAAGTACCATCCTTTCTGCTGTTGGCCTACATAATGGCATCATAGTCCCCATTTCAAATGAAGAATGAATTATCTTTTTTCTTCATCATCATTATACTTATTTTAGTATATATTGACAATTTGAAGACCAGGAAATAGAGGAACGAGACTTATCCTTGATTTTATTCAGAAAAATCTTAGCTTTTTCTGTTTAATTTCATTTTACCTCAACCTTTTTTTTACTTCAAAAGTATTTTCTTCCTGCTTTTGATGAACTGGATTTATATTTCACATATCATCATGGGATAAAGAGTTTTTGTATTTATCTAAGTCTAAGCATTCAAGATGTACTTTTATAAGTTGTCAAAGAGTGTAAAACAATTAAAATTTGGCCTCTTGAAATCATGAAATGTTAAAAATCTTGTAGTGTTTTTTTTAAACTGCCATCATGTGGGAAAAATATTTAGCACTACATTACATTAGTACATTGCAGAGTTTAGTAAAATCCTGACACACGCTTGTGAAGTTGTACGGTAATGTTGATCTGACACCCTTAGTATTACGGTCTGTATGAAAATCCAGTTTTAACTTTGTACACATAAGTTTTTGGATAATTTTTTTTAAACAGTTTCTGGAGCATTTAAAAATGTGTCCGTTCTCACCCAAAGATATTTATTGCATAAGCCAGTGATAACTTGTGTCTGTGGCAGAAATAAGACGCATGTCGTGACCTGCAGATTATTTCAACATTTCGTCCCCCTAGAATAACAAGGTTCTATGTGCCTATTTAATCCAACTTAGAACCTTGTTATTCTAAGGGGAAGATTTATTTTTTGTTAAGCAAGCGCAATTTATTAGATGAATGACCCACAGTTTAATTAAACATTTTGCCATAACAAATCGTCTATTATTGTTACATATTTGGAATAAAAAGCTAAAATTCCAATTTGTCTGTCTTGAAATTTTTTTATGCTACTAAGTTTAATTGAATTCTTTTTAAAAGCTTAAAAATATAGAAGAATTTTTCATCTCTTGGTGAATTCAGACCTGTTTTTTTTCCTTCCCCTTCCTATTATTAAATGAGGCTCAATTAATATTTTTATATTTAAAGCCTTTTCAAGTCTATTGATTTTACAATTTCCGTCTTGATTCTGGTACTTGGAACCTGTGTTATTGCCTGCCAACCGTTAACCCAGAAGAATGTTTTTTTAGGTTTTCTTTTCCATTAAAAACAATAAATGTCTTGAGAGATAGGCTGAAAATGATTTCATCAGTGTATATAAACAGCATGGCAAAAGAATGTCTGATATAATGAAGTTCATTTCAATGGTGTGTTTGTTACAAGGGTTGTTAAACTGCATGTTGATTTCTGTCAATAATGAACTGACTTGACTCCTCAGATGCTGTTGGTTATGTATGCAAGGAGATGGAGGTGTCAGGATCATTAGATTTTAAAATCCTTGAGATTAACTTTTCTGTTTTTATTCATGGCTGGCAAAATCTTCAGAAGGCTAAATGACCACTTCCCGTCAACCTATCAAGCTGAAACTTGGCACATAGGTTCATTGTCTATGAAAACACATTCTTTCAAATTTTCAGCATCAACCCCCCCCTGCAATCAGTTTTTCCTGTTTTTCAAGGGCAAGATAAAGGAAATATGATGACGCTGATTTCATGAAATAAAATTCCTGATAACTGAGATCTTTAAAAAAAATTACCCCAAGCTCGTTTGGTGCGTAATATTTTCTTTTGTTTTTTGAAATAGTTGGTGAAATAAATCTGCTGTGTAAAAGCGGGTGGGTCATTAGAATATTATAATATAAAATAATTAAAAAATAGGTAAATAGGATTTATATAAAAAAACTTTGTTCTTAGGAGTTGTTTAATTATTTTTTAGACAGATTCATATGGGGAATTTGTTTCACAGCAGCAGAACCATGCATAAACAAGATTTATCAGCCTTGGCAGTTTGGCATCTTGTTACAATACCAATATTTAACAAATAGCATAAGCTGGCCAGTTTTCTTGATGGCTCCTTGCATGGACACAGCTATTTTATGGTAAACCTTATAAAAGGTTTCAGTTCACTTTAATTTTGCATTGTTTTGGCTAAGAGCAATAATAATCTACTGTAATATCATCTTGCTTTCGTATTTTTAAAAATTCCTTGGGCTAGGAAATGATTGCGTGCATTTTGTAGGAGCCTCAAAAAGAGATTTGCAAATTTGAATTTTAAATAATTTAAGATAAAGAATTGCATTCAATGTTGATTAGGGATGATGAGATGTTGATTTTTTTTTTTTTTTAAACACATTTTGAAAAATAATGTAAATATTTTTAAACATAAAATTTAAAAAACTTATTGGTCAGAGTACTGAATAATTTTTTTTAATATGGATTTCAAATGGCATAAAAAGAATCTTTTTAAAAGAAGGGAGAGATTTTTAGGCTTGAAATTGTAAAACAGATTATTATCCTTATGTAGCAGGCACTTGGACAAGTGCTTGTGGGACTGCGGCCACAATGAAGGTTCAGATACATTCAGCCAGAAGAATCTTAATTTCAGAAGCAACCATGTGCACTTAAGATAAGGCAGCACTACAGAAGACTGCAGCACCTGTTGGTGCACTATAGAGGAGTGCAGCACCTGTTGGTGCACTATAGATGAGGCAGCACCTGTTACATCCAGGTATTATTTTATTGTTCGTCCTTTGCACATGAAGATTACCAAGGTTAAAGTGAGAGAGAGTTGCTCAATTCGTCGGCCTCATTCTCTCGTCCTTGCCTGTTTGATCCAACGGCAAGACTTAGTCAGGACAACTGGAAATAGACCTGGATGCAATGGATGACCAGGAGTGTCTTTTTGCGTGTTTCACAGTGCTCTTTATGCATTCCACATCGCAGGAGTTATCAGAATTTGTGTCGATGTCATACCGCCTACGGAATTCCCATCTCGGGATTTGATTTCCGGGTTAACGAGTCCTATCCACAAGGGGTTCTGGTGGTGTAGGCTTTTGCTGGGGACTGAACACCAATTCACTAGCTTGGGATTGACTCAGCTTAGACTGCTCTGCTACCCAGCACAAGAGGATTCTATTTCCCCATCATCAGCTGTACCTCTGGTAAAGCTGATGATACAGACCAAAAAAATCAGCTTTGGTGTAAAAAATACAAGTTACAAAATGTTGAAGAGCACAATTTACATCTGATTAAATTATAACCATTTGTAAGATACATTTTTTTAATGATAACACAGGTAACACTAAAGTAAAGGAAGCTTTAATATACTCAATATCTTATACCAAAAACGACTTGCAATAAATTAATTATGGGTCAAGTATAACAGTATTAATAGATAAAGAAATGAAACAAAACCATGTTTACTTGGTTCTTAACTACTTGGAACTAAAATAAGAATTTTAAAGAACTCTCATATTCATAATGACCTTTAATATGTTCATGACAATGGGATGAAATAAACACACATCTCATATTTAACTATTGCTCATTTTGGTTTGGGGTTTTGATTTAATGGCATTTTCTAATGGTGAGATTCTATCATTTGTATCTTTCTAATGGAGACAGTCTATCAATTGTAGCCTTGTAAAAATTTTGTTCTTATGTTACCTCTTTTTTTTTACTTCTTCTAATATCAATAGATAACTTTAAAATGAAATCTGAAAGTTGAATTAATCTGGTCTGGCAATGCTTTTGAATTTATTCTAAATTGTAAACTGTCAGTAGAAATATACGGTACTGATAAAATAGCTTGAAGGAATTCAATTTCATATTCAAATTTTTTCTTAAAGTAAAGACACAGTTACTATTGTATTTTTCCCATATTACTTATTTTTACATGCGTTGTTTTATAAGGTGATGTGAAATGTAATTTTATTTAATATAACATATCCCTCTTGAGTCACACAGACCTTGTCCACATATTTATTTGTGTGTTTTAAGTTCCAACCTTTTTTTTTTGGCACTTTCATTGCCATAATGCAGCAAAAAAAAAAAAAAAAAAAAAAAAGAAAAAAAAAAAAAAAAAATAGGTGGTACATTATTTTTCAAAATGGTGGAAGCATTCTATTTTATTTGTTGATGTGGTGCTAATTATTATTGACAACTCAAGTCTTAATAGCATTCTCTATACCAGTATTTTATATGACTTCTGAGATTACAATAAAAAGTTATATGTTGGTTCCAGGAAGCATCATTCAGAAAAAAACAAAAGAGATATTTTTGTAGCAAGTTTTTGTTTTTCTTCCAAGTTAGGGGACTTTAAAAATTTTATCTAACTTAACATTTTTTCATTTTATGTAGGTTGTATTTTTAGGATCCCTTGCTTAGAAAGCTGCTTGGCTCCTGGATAACAAGGTCAAAATCTAATCTCTTTTAGTTTTAGGGCTAAAATCTTTAAATAAGCCAAGTGACTTTTGTTTTTAAAAAAACAAACTCATACAATTATTTACTGACATTGACACTTCCAGTCTGAATGAAAACGTTTCTTACCACCTCTCTGTTGTTTAGTTATGACTGCTGCTGATTTACTGCAGTTTTCATAATTTTAACACAATATTTCTCTACTTCTTTGCATTTTTATGATTAGCTCTAACATTTCCTTTAAATAGAATTTCTAAATAATTGATGTTTCTTCATTTGTTCTAAATTATTTTTTTTCAAGGGTATTTGTTCAATAAGTGTCATCTGTTCAAGTCTGCTTATGATCTAAAATATATTGTATGTATGAAAAAAAAATTATCCATCATTACAACAATTTCATCCATTCTGGTGGGGGGGGGGGGGGAATTTTTTAGTAATGTTTTAATGTAGTTTTAATTTACTGTAGCGTATTTGTATGGTGAACAAACGGACAGGACATCAGCTTAGTTACTTTCTCTTTATTTTCTCTTTACTTTAATAAATTTTTTGTCTAAATAATTTTTTATCCAATCAATCCAGGGGGGGCAAGTGCCCCCCTTGCCCCCCCCCCCTGCGGGCGCCCATGCATCCAACTAACTTGCCTCACTCCTCTAGCCTTTGTGTAAGTATGCATGGTGTATGCATTGTGTATGCATGGTGTAAATGTTGTGGAGGCAGAGGCCTCCTGATACCACCCCGGTACTTAAAATACTTAAGTGATCTGTGAATGTATATTCTTACATCACCTCATGTCAGTTGTTCAGCCTTTCATCCATCTATCTGAACATGATTTTAAACAATAAAGTTTACAAAACAAAATATTTTGTTTTAAATAATCATTTCTTTTAATTGTGGCAAAGGCATCAAATGTTGTCAATAGAAAATATATTTGTCATGATCAACAATGGATTACATTTTAATGTGTGTTTTGATGAAAATCATTATTACTTGAGTCATTAAAGGAAAAAATGTATCAATGAAATAAAAAGCTACCATTACCTGAAGTTATGTAGAATTTCCGCAATCTTAATAGCCTCACTTAATTTTCTGTATTACCCATTATTGGATTTGCTTGTTTTGAGGTCATTTGTACATTCTTATTGGAACTTATTTGAAATTTTCTCTTTTCGATGTAACAGTGCAGTCAAAACATTTCTAAGTTTTAAGATAGGATTTGCATAAAAATAATGACTTTGCCTAGACTATGACTATGCATGATCTGTTTAATACATATATATATTCCCATGTGAGTCACCATATTGGTACACTAATAAGAATCATCACCATTTGTAACATCACGGTCCAAGGTATTAACACAGACACAAAGCAATGACTTTAAACAACATTTAAATAGAGAAATTTAAGATAAAATTTAAATTAAGTTGGAAAATGCTTTGTTCTTGAAATATATTTATGACCATAATTAATTATAACTCATAAAGCATAGGCTTTTTAGTTATAGTTGTGGTCAATAGCAGAATTCTCTCACATTTTTTTCCCATCAAAAGCCATCTTTAGAAAAGAAAGGCACACATATGAGGAATTTCTCAGCTGCATTAGTTACTGACATTTCTCAAATGTCTATTTGGTATGTCTAGTAAAGACCATTCTAACACATTTAAACCATGGCACTTGGGATCTCAAGAACACATTTTATGAAAGATCACTTGAGTGAAACATAAGATTAGCACAGCCATAAATTAACATTTTAAATCCAATATTTAAACAGAGCAATTCATATTTTGTTAAATAATTAAAGTAGAGGATTTTTTTCTCCGCTAAAAAAAACCAAGTCTTATTCAAAGATATTCTTGTTGAATTCAAATTTTTAATTAATCAAATTAATTTGAACTGTTATTAGCACACCATAAAATCCTGACAGAGACTATTTCCAGATATACTCTGGGAGTAGAATGTCTGGTCTCTTAGCTTCATGGAGGATTTCTCGACATACTTTAAACATAAGTTTGAGCTCATTTCCTTCAACATTTATCGAACCTATTACCATAACACATCAAATTCACGGAATTTAGGTTTATGATTTCCTAGAAAAGAAGGCCATGACAGCATTGATACATTCTTTAGATTGCCATCTTTCTTCCAAAAGCTTACATTCCTCTTTGTTGACTTTCTTCAGCAGTTCAAGTTCACTGCTGCGGTTCAGTATCTTAGAAAGTCTCAAACTCTGGAAAAATAAATTTTTAAAAAAATCTTTGTAACTGATAAATCTTTTAATACAATCATACGCTTGTTCAAAGTGAGGAAGAATATTTCTTAAGCATTATTTGTGTTAAGCGTATCTTCAGTCAAATTTAAGAAGACACTTGTTAAAGTCAAACACATTTTGTAAAGAAAAGAAAATATTCTTAAAAATTTGACGATAAAAACTAATTTAATTTTCATAGCTCCGTTCTTCAGTTCATTTCTTATCCGCAATAGAAAGTTCTAAGCATGACACAAATTACAGATAGAATTATTTTAATTTTCTTTAAAAAAAAATTGATTCCATGTTTTTTTTAATAACGATTCAAAGCCTAATGGGTTAACATTTATCTTTTAATTTTTAATCAAATCGTCATTAACCTGCTTGTGAGTTGCATATCAATCAAATTATATTTGTAAAAATGTTATCATACCTTAGAAAAGTGGAGTTTTCCCCAAACTGCTTGCCTCTCTACACATTCACACGACTTACCTGAGGTGGGCACTTGGCAAACTGTTGTATCCTGGTGCTGGTCTCCCTCACAAAACTATCATTGAGGAAAACCTCAGACACTAGATTCACTTGTTTGGCTTCAGCGGCTGTGATTTTTTTGTTAAATAGAAGCATTTCATTGGCCTGAAAAGAAAGTGTTGGACATGTTGGTTGACTCAGATGCCTCCGTATATTTATCTCACATGATGGGAGATAATTTAAAATAAAAATGTAGCACCTCGATTGTTATAGAACTCTCAAGGTTTGAATGTTACCAAAATGATAAATAAGGAGGTGTTACTGTTTGTTATGAAACCAAAAGGTAGGTACACTCAGTAGAAGGTCAAAGTTCACCTTAGAATAGCCCATTATTTTGGGAAAGGTGTATGATGAGCAGGCTTCTGGAGACTGTCCCAGGGCAGAGAATGGTGTATGAAACGTTGCCTGCAGATACAAATTAAAAACAATACTGAAACAGTTGAACAGTCATGAATAAAATAACAGACAGCTGAGCAAATTGAAATAACTCTTTTGAAACCAATGGCATTAATCTAAAAGTGTAAAATTTTGTACCGTGATAAGGACATTTAATTCAAGACTTAAAAAAATGAAACAGACTTCTGCTTCTTATTATCTTTAAAAAAAAATTAAACAGAAATTATATTATTCTTCCATATTAAAAATTATATAATTATGCTTTTAAGACTAAATGAGGTGCTTATTTTTATAAAAGTAAAATAGCTATGGGGCATTAGGGAATAAGGTAACCCACCAGATCTGTGGCATACACAACATCACATAATGGAAGGGGTGTGACACCAATGCCAACAGCTGGTCCATTAACCAAAGCTATCAGAGGTTTGGGGAAATCAATAAATGCATTCACAAACTCTCTGTAACAATAAGTTTTTAAAAATATGTAAAGAATAGATGTACCGTTTTCATAAGCTATCTTAAATCAGGTTCCTTGTAGTCTAGTATTTTTATTTAACAATTATTTTTACTTGTAATCATTGTCATATCCCTAATCATAAAAACATTTTATTATTTAAGTGTTAATATATTCGACCAGGTACATAAAGCTATTTTATATCAAAGTATTAAACGGTACAACAAGCCATTCAGATATTACACAAATAAACTGACAGTAAGGTATAGACACAAATATATCATCATGACGTAACGAACCCACTCCAACACTCAAGTGCTTACTCTAGGACGGCCCTTCCCTCACTTGCCATCTTAGGTATCTGCTCTGGAGTCACATTTGTGAAGTTGGATAAATCATTCCCACTACAGTAGTAATCTCCAGTACCTGAACAAATGAAGAGTTACAGCCTTGGTTATCCCCATGCTCCGAAAATCCTAAATAAACGTACAGTATAATTAATACAGTAACTCGCATCGATTTAAGCTGATGTCAAATAAAAAGGTAACTTTCAAAAGTAGACAACTGCCTAATGTTTATATTTCAATCTGTAGCCACTTTCTTTTGCAGACGTGTTTCTGCTATAGATATCAATGAACATATTGGTGAACATGTAGATCACATTATTAGAGTCTGTCACTGGTAAAATTTGACGCTAACAGCAAACCCCCATCTGCATTGATTTACCACCTTCACTTAATAAAAATATAAGTAGAAAGCTAAATCATAGAGCGTGGGATCTTAGAGAACATTACCTGAGATCACTGCTATACTGTAAGCATCATCCTCTGCAGCCTCTTTAAAAGCTTTGCCAATACCTTTGTACATCTTTAATCGAGCAAACAGAAACAGAAGAAGAAATTAATCATTTGTTTCACAGTGTTCAGTTGCAACAAAAATAGATTTAGGTGAAAAATATCTACTAACATAATTGGTGCCATTTTTGTATAGAGATAGATTTATGCCAAATCTGATGGGTTGTATTCTTTCATGTACCGGTACGTCATTTTTGTAAAAAGATAGATTTATGCCAAATCTGATGGGTTGTATTCTTTCAAGTACCGGTACTTCCTGAGAAAAGCATCATTATGTATCCACAGAAAATAAGAAGTAGTATTTTATTAGCTAGTGTTGGAGTACTCACATAGTGATGATCATAACAATGAAAATATTGAATACTCTTTGCAAATCAATAAAATATAAAACTATGGAGGTACTCGCTCTTAGTCTCATATCTCGTGAGACTTAAATTTAATGGCAACATTTTCACTTATTATATAGCAAAGTGCCGAGTGGATGAATTTGGCATTTACAGGGTTGAATCAGTACCAGCCAGACTTTGCCACAAAGGGATTTAATGGATTTTGGATGTACCCACCTGCCAGGTAATGGCATTTTTTTTGGCTGGTCTGTTGAACTGAATATGAAAGACTTTATTCTCCCTTGTTATTTTTAGACCATCATACTGCTCTCCAGGTCCCAGGTTTTCTGCAGGTGCACTTGACTCTGCACCTGCTAGCTCCTCAACTACTTTGATGTAAGCCTTCTGAGCATCATCCTGTTGAACAATTTCATTGAAGTGTTATTCAGTATGTTTTTGAAGATAATGAACTCCCTTTGTCATGCTGAAGAAGTTATGTTATAGTATTTAAAATGTGAAAAATAAAAACATTGGTAAATAAATAATCAATTTTTAATAAATTATTTTACCTATATATGATGATTCGTCCTTATTGAAATAGCTGGTTTATCCATAAATCCAATTTTAACTCTCCCATTATGAAACATTTAGTCACAACAAAATTTCTTAAGTTAATTTTAAAGGCCTCCAGGGACATTACATGTTGTTGTAGGTCATGTATTAGAATCTTAATGCACCTTCTGTATTATAATTTTCTTTAATGTTCATAAAGTCCATTACGTTTGTATGGAATATAGTTAACAGGATCCAAATTTTAAAAATGATCATATTAATATTTGTCCAAACCTGAGTCATGTCCCCTAGCTCATTCCAAGCATTCCATTTAGCCTTGCCAACAAGGTCCATCATACCAGGCTTGGGAGCATTGCATTTCCCCTGAGTTGCCTAAATAGATATTAGGTGTAGCATTTTTGTCAGTAATGAATTCAATTATAAACTTCAAGAGAAGTTCTATAGATTAAAGTAGTATTGCTTAGCTTAGACATATTAATATAATATGTATATTAAATTGCATCTAATTGCAAAGAAAAAGACATCAATGTATGCAAAAAAATAACAAATAATACAAAAATAAAACTATAAAGAATTATAGGTATCAAATAAAATGTTATTTTCATACTTGCTTAAAGAGCCCATAAATTTTGAGCTTGACATTTGGTCCAGGATCCTCTTTAAGAGAGTTCAGACGTTCCTTTGCTTTCTCAAACTCCTTATCATGAGCCGGATAATTAGCTCTCGCAGAAACATGAATCCATCTAGCACTTGTAGACTTGAGAAGGCTGCAAAGTATAATGGAATGACATAATATTTTACATGTAATAGCATTTTAATATAATATACATTTTTTAGAATAATTCCATTTTTGAGTCCGCTCTCGCTTCATATGTTTGATGATATTTCTTTAGGTGTTAAAGATGAGACAGTAAAAGTTCTTAAATTATAAATGATTTTATTACATGCAAATGTAAATTTTTTAATTTTATAACAATATTTATAAATAAAATATGACTAAATCAAAAAAATAACTAATTAACCACTTTCAAAGTTTGAGAAATCAAAATAAAAGATAAAATAATTATCTTAACAAACTGAGTGTGAATATCACAGTGTGATATCATTAAATTAAATGGTTAAAACATGAAATCAAAGGTGAGTCGCAATTTCATCACAGAAAATTCCACACTTTACACAATGGGTATGCAGATTTCATCTGTCCTGATAAACAAGTATCAGAGTTCATACTTTGAAACTGACATAGCATTAAAACCATTGGAAACTTCTATTTCTAACACCCATAATCAATTTGCCCAACAAATATATGAACAACAATAATTAATGTCCTCAAGGAGGACTTCATCAATAATATTTCTCTTTCTCCATATGGACTTGGTATTGATTTTGGTAATGCCGACAATTTGTTCCATGGTATTTAGGTGTTGGGCGCTCTCTGGGTCAACTTTGTCTATAGATCAGAATTAACATATTATAGATTTTTAGCTTTGTATTTACACTTTATTTGATGCAAGTTTTTTTTCCTCATTTTATAATATTTTTTTTAAATGGCGGAGGGGTTTTCTCCTCCTCAGAGAATTATGCTGAAATGACCTGTGAAATGTCAAAGATATAGCATAATGCGGCATACAGCCACTTCATTTGGTTTTAACCAATCAAAAGACAGCGTGCATCTTTTATTCCATCGATGTTCATCTTGGGATATCAGCAAGGATATGTAACATGTTTCTTTTTTCATTACCTTGGAACACTGTAAGTTACAATTTAATTTTTTTTTAAATTTGGAAAATTTAAACTGTGTCAGATTTAGTTTATGATGTGAGTATAGCTAAAAAAAAAGGAATAGAAAAAGAATACCACCCACGTTCAAAAATCATTGTTATGGTCTAAGTCTAATGCACTCTAAGTCCAGTATTGAGTTTCCCCAAACAGATGTCACTGCAGATGATTGCACTTAGAGCTAACTTAGGGTTAGGAAATTCTTGGCAAAAACCACACCCCCCAAATTTTACTAAAACTAAAAGAGTCCTCCTAGGCCTAGATATTAAGATTATGATTAATTAATAATAATAATAAGTTATAATTATAATTATTTATTATCATAAATTTTCCACATAATGTCAAAGAAATTCAGAAACTCTACCCATGAAATGTATCAATAAAAACAATCAATTGTGGATTTGCACATGGCACGTGAATTTTTTTGTAATTGTAATGACCTGTGATTTGTGGGTGCAAAGTCCAATTGGGCCCTTATACTTATACTTATACTATACAATTTATTTCATTTTTGCATTCTATCGACTTCATCGCTGACACACAATTAGCTTTAAAATTCGTCTTTTTATTTGGATAAAAGTTGCATAACAGGTATTTTATACGTAGTAACTGATAAGAAGAGTAATCCTACATACCATTTTCGAAGGCTTGAATGAGAATAAATGTTCCATATGATTTTGGACTTCGATACAACACAAAGAGCTGCCATCTTTGTTTGACTTCCCTACCACAAAATACATACCTGGTTTGGATTAAAAATATGATTATGTGTTTAATATATACATAAAATTACAATACATTATATATATCTTCATGATTCATAAGAATTTATATTTGTGCAAAATGCACTTGACAGAAGTAGTAAAGTAGAAATATAATTCGAAATCTAAAAAAGATATTTATAATATCATGATATTAAAATATTTTCTTCTTTCCAGTTCATGACTCGAACAGATTCATGATGATTTGTTCTTTCAGTTATTAAAAGGAAACTTGCTAATGCTAAGTAAGTAAAGTTATAGGTAAAAATTTATCGTAATTTACGGCGGGATCAGGGTTTCTTTCAGCTACATCTCTAGGGGGCACTTGCCCCCCCCCCCCCCGGAAGAGCCAAGTGCCCCCCCCCCCCGAGCAAAATATGTCCAACAATAAATCAACTGGCACTGTCCCAACCCCCGAAAAATCTGAAGGTCCCCCCTCCCCGGGGGGGAGGGGGGGATTTCTGAAATAATCATTGTTGCCAAGGAGTAGCCAGGTTTGCTCTATCGTAACAATGGGCATCAGGGACATCATTTGGGTAGGGCAGGGGGGCATTTGTCCCCACAATTTTAATTTAATCTTAATTTGCAGGTTTTATTTAAATTGCTATGTACTGTGGGGCCTCCAGTAATAAACAACATAACACGCCGACCAAGTTTTGCTTTTGCCCCCCCCCCCTGAAAAACCTGAAATGACGCCCCTGATGGGAAAAATCTATAGTAGCTGATTGATCATTTTCAACTTGCGGCACTGATATACCAGATAAGTCAACATCATCTTCATCTAACCAGTCAGCACTTAAAATAGAAGCATTGTCAGTGTGAGCAATATTGCCAATAGCTCTCTCTATCTCATGCAGCTACTCGCATCGGTCGATTCCTTTTTTGTTGAGGAGCAAGTGGTAATTTCTTCTGCCCAAGAGGGCATTGTCGGTGCCGTTGAACATGCTTTTTCAACATGACTTGTGATGCAAAATAGATGTTACTGAATTTGCTAATCCGCTCAAGCAGGGATATTATTACTGTTACTCACTTTACATTCACCTAATTCTCAAAATATCGTATTGCTACTCCATAAATATCATTTATCTTGACTGTACATGACACTTTAACCTTGTCCTTGTTCCATACATTCAACAGAATCTACAGGTGAAGAGAGGCCAACTTTTGGATTTTCTTGCATCAGCAAAATGTGCTAACATTCTGACCAGCCATCTGCAGTGAAACGAAACACATTAAATAAATCTTATATTGTTGAAAGCCTAAAAATTATATGACTATTTACACTAATTTAAACGTAAACATTTTTTAAAAATAATGTAATAACCAGTCAATTTTTAAGTTCAATATTAAAATTTTAATAGAGAAAACATGATTGTTGACGTCAACTAACCTAAACCCCCCTCCCTCCCCCTTGTCAACAACTGTCAAACATTTCCACCCCCACCCCCCCTATTTTGTTGACGTTATTATAAGACGCACCCTTATATTTATATGGTGTGTTTTGTTTGGGTATTTTGTTCATGTTTTTTTCAGTGCCTTGAAACACTTTTTATTGTAACAACCGTGTTAATAATAAAATTTATACGGAAACTTATTGTGCGTTGGTGACATTTAAGAAGTGTATAATGAATAGCCAGCGACGAGGCCATAACAGGCAATTCCGGCTCATACCAGCAAGAAGCCAGTATAGGAACTGCTCCTTCCTGCCAGAGACAATTTGGGACTGGAACAAGCTTTCAAAAGGAACAGTTGAGGCGACAACAATAGACTCATTTGTGTCTATTGCCTCAAGCCTTCAAACCCCCCAGTGCATGATTCCCTCACAAAGTGGCACTTGCAATCAGTGAAATATCCTCGTCAACACCAGGCACAGAAACATTGCAAATCCCCTCTACGTGCATAGGAGCCAAAATGATCAATAAATTGATCGTGGGCCCTTAAGATATAGAAGAAGAAGAAGAAATGTACATAATTATGTGCGTTACGCAAATAAACACATTTTAAAGCGCACCGTTCTGAAAAAGAAAAAAAAAACGGCTGATCAAAATGTGAACGCCTAAAAAAACTTATCTTGAACGAACCTCGTGTAGATCAGAAAGTGTGACTCATAATATAGAAGGGGCGGCAATTTTCGGCCAGGGTAAGTTTTCACCAGTAGGGTCAAAGCTATATTTTTGCCGCCCATTCCAAAAAAAAAATATCATGAAGTTGGCAGAAAATGCAATCCCTCCATACGATATAAGGAAACAAAGTGCCCCAAGGGTGGTCTGCCCCTTCAAACGCCACCCAGGCCACTGGCACTGTCGTCACATGTTTAATTTATGTATATCTCTTTACTTGTTATAGTTTCCATTCACGCCAGCATCTTCGTGAATAAAAAAAAAAACCCTAAAAGTTTATTGACTTTATTGTTGAATTTAATTTGAATGTTATTTAAAAGTAAAATGCGTAATCATCTGTCAGTGCTAACTCCAAAAAAAAAAAAAAAAACAACAACAACAAAAAAACAACAACAAAAAAACAACGATTAGACATGGATTAGCTTTAGGCATAGGCTATTGGCACTATTGCCAGATCTTCAGATCTCAATGAAATCAGTTTATATTTGGCCGGAGACTTTGCTAATCCTATTAATATCCAGATGAGTTTTAAACTCAACTTCCATTTTCATATCAGTTCTTAATAAGCTGATTAGCGACTTGGCCAATATCCAAGCTCGTCTAACCTAAAAGAGAAGAGGGAGGGGGTGGGCTTTACAACATGTGGCATCAATAAGGTTTGTGTTACCATGACCCATTAGAGTTCTCGTAGGTCGTGGTGTTACCCAGTGCAGTATCAGTGTAGTATGCTCAATGTGCCAGACCCTTTTCCAATGACTTCCCCAAGTACGTCTCTGAATGTGCCTGCTCTGGAATCAGTTTTTCTTTCAGGCTTCTCTCGGGGGGAGGGGGTGTCCAAAGTTTGCTAGTTTGCTTACACCCCCCCCCCGGAAAATTCCTGTGTGCGCCCATGCAAGCATACTCTGGCCGGTACTACGTACATCGTGGCGGTGTACCGAGCGAAACCATGGAATTTGGCTGCGTATACGGCAGCGGTGTGCCTAGCAAAAAACCATTGGCATTGGCCTGCGTACACAGCAGCGGTTATACGCAGAACAACCATGGTCTTTGAGCCTTTGCCATTCTTTATTTTTAACTCTTTGGCTTGACCGGTACTTATAAAATTAATGTTACAAGTTATACTCTTCTTCTTAATTAATTTGTTTAAATATTTCTTTAATCTGTAAGATTAAACAAAAGTAGTACTTGTATTTTTATTTTGCGCAGGACTCGAGTCCTGCATTTAGGAACGCAGCGGCATCGGCATGGTCATCATCATTAACCATCAATCCATCATTAATGAATATAAATAATGCTATTCTACGAAATATAAATATTTTTCTTATTATTGCGAGGGGGTTAATGGGTAAGTTCCTTTACATTTGTGGCAAGGTATATGTAATAGTGTAATAAGCATTACAAGTATTTTTCTGGTTGTATCAGAGTCAGAGGGCCGCTTACGCCCGCATGTTATTGTTATATTCTAATAAATTGTGGTGTACCCCACAAGGAGGCGATTTTAGATTAGGCCTATAGGAGGGCATATAAATTATTATTTGTAAAAAAATATATTGTAATACAAATATATTATCAATTACCCTAAAAACAATTTTTTTCTATAAATTAAAATCCTTTAGAATAATGAATGTAATATCTAGCAATTATGGGCAATATGGGGGGTGGGGGATGAAATTTGACAAAATATGCATTCAAGAAATGATCTTTTAAGACTCCCCTGAATCCTAATTAGTGCTCTCCCCCTCAAGGCTCGCAACTGCACATTTTTTTTTCACGCCCCTGAACTATACAGCAGATTAATTTCACTGTTTCAGAAAAAACAAAAGAAAATATTACTCACCAAATGCACTTGCAACTTAAATAGGAAAAAGAATCTCATTTAGCGCAGTTATTGAGAATTTCAATTTATCTTCCCCTTGAAAAACAGGACAGATGGATTTTAGGGGGTTGGGGCTGATAGAATGTTTTGTTTTCGGCAACAAGTCTATATGCCAAGTTTCACCTCGATAGCTTGACAGGAAGTGGGCCAATTAGCTGTCCAAAGATTTTGCCAGTCAGCCAGCCACCCATTCACAAACAAAAGTGAAGTTAATATAACGGATTTAAAAAAGGCAGCTAATTTGAAATTAAACCTTCTTTACAGCAGCATGAAGACCTCTTTTTTGTGTGTTTTGGGGGTTGGTACATTTATAACAGATCAGGTGTGGCGTGGGGTAAAAATATTGCTTGGAGCACTGCCGTGATTGTGTTAAAATTTGTGGTGTAGGTTCCGACACCTCTTTTTTTTTTGCAAGTGTATCTGTTTAAGATCTTTATGCTGGCTGAATATTGAACATGGGATCGGAATAGGCACATCACTGAAAATATCAGCATGTATGATCAGTGGGATATCAAAATTACTTGGTTATATGATGCTAAATAGTTTATACTGTGACTGTGGGGCTACATTTACTGAAGTAATAAGTGGGCAACGTAGAATACTATTTGTTAGTTCAAAATGATCTTTGGCCTCATGTTTGGATCAGTTGGCCATCTAAGTCTAAAGCAATGCTGTAAACATAGAATCTGAGTGAAGTTCGGTCAGTATCTAGGTAATATACCGGTAGCTAATACAGGAATCCTTATGGTAGGAGCTACTTTGATTAGTAAACCATAGCTAGAAATCCATTTGTGTAATAGTTTTAGCAAAAATGCAATGTCATTCATTATTTCACAATGTTTTAACTTTTACTAAATAATGAAATAAATTTAATATCACTAAAATGAACAGCTTTATTAGTACAATATGCAGGTGGGCTATCAAAATCAACAAATACTTTACAATCTCTTTGATAATTATGCTGTTAAAAAGGATGTTTGGAAAATTATCTAGTCTTCCTGTAAAACTCGAGCTAAACTTATGGTCCTGACACTAAAAATTTTAAAAATATAATTTTTTTATCTTCGACTTCTACACATCTTGAGACATTTTCATTGATGCTTATGTTGGTAGAAACCGATGTTTTAAGGCTGGGATTGGAATTTTTTTTTTTCTTTGTAAAGTGAAGCACCATGAAAAAATATTTTGAATTGTTACTAAAGCTATCCCTGGGAAATGGGAACATTGCGAGGGTTTCTGTGAGATGACATGTTCTTCCCTGTGAATAACACCTCATTTTGCACTTGAAACGAATTACGTCATGAACAGGATTATGCGATGTGTGTTTTTGAAATCATGATGAACCAGCTTGTTTTCATATGATTTGTTAGGTGACAGAGAGTTATGAACATTCAAGTACAGTTATACATTTATTTTGTTTGGATGTTCATAACAGATCAACTGCACGAAGAATGTTTAAATGTGTACACAGGCCTAAGTCCATGGTTTTCTCTAGGTACACCATCGCTGTGTAATGAGCTACTTCATTGAAATGTTCATTTTTATTTATTTTAGTCCCTAAATTTTTATTAAAAAATTCAAATTGGCCTAATATAACTTAGTAAACTTACATTTTCAATTTTTCCCTTCCAGTTGAGTTGGAATCATTATGAAAGAGTATGATGAGTAATATCAATATTCTCAAAATCTGATGTTCTTATTTATAGGTCTATACATACTATTACTCTAAACTATCCATTTATACCGATTAGGCCCAGGCTAGCCGCCAGAACCGTAGTGTGGGCCTTGCAACTCCTGCAAATATCCAAACCCACCTGCAGCTGCAGGATGTGCAAAGAATTTTAACTGTGGCTGCAGATGGCCTTGGATATTTGATTAAATAAAGGGCAAGTAAAGGGCCTAAAGTTTTGACATGAAAAGAATTCAACCATCAGCTTTGAATTCACTATACAGTGGTGGGCACTAAACCTGTAAGTTGTAAGTGCCTCTAAAAGTCATGTGGCCCGGCGAGCTGTCCTATCTATATTGTCTAGGGCTAGGCTCATGTTATTAAAATAAATTATATACG